TTGAGAGAGAGAGACAGAGCACAAGCAGGGAAAGGGCAGAGAGATGGAGACACAGCATCTGAAACAGGCTGCAGGCTCTAAGCTGTCAGCAGGGCTCGAACTCATGAGCCAGGAGGTCATGACCTGAGTCGAAGTCAGATGCTTAACTGACTGAGCCACCCAGCTGCCCCTTTAGCAGAAGACTATTAATTCTTATGGTTTTAAGAACTGTTATTGTTGTTATCATTGTTATCACAACAGCATTGTTAGTAATACTCCTGTTGTTGTTATGATGATGATTGGCTTACACTTGTTGAATTACTTAATGATAAATAACAATAAATAATAAATTATTTCAGGTACTGTCTAAGCACTTTATGTGAATAAACTCAGTAAGTTAATGATGAAAATAATAACCTACAGTCTTTTCTTTCCTTGTCTTAATTCTCTGTTTGTACATTTAATATTTCCTCTTTGGTTTTACATAGCTGTTTCTTTAAGGTTTTAGCTATTTTCTTTGGACATAGATTACTGCAGATTGTTCATGACCAGCCAGTTTCATTTTTACACCTTGATTTTTATTTATTTATTTTTTTAGGGGGAAATACTTCCCAATCCATCAGATTATAAATCCTCACTCATAGCACTGACTGCACATAATTGGCTATTTCGCATATCAGCAACTACTGGAAAAGTCCTTGAGAAAATATATCTTGCTTCATATTGCAAATTCAGGTATTAAATGTGGCTTTATTACTGAAGATCTTATTTATATATATACATATGTAAATATAAACCTATGAAATAAATTTGAGACTTGTGGCCCAGGAAATTTCAAGCTTTTTTTTTTAGTTTACCATTGTATACCTGGATCTCAATTTATAAACCTATACTATTTTTCTTTCCTCATGAGTACCTTTGAAGGTCTGAGGATAACAGACCTTTGATCATTTATTGTTGTATCACTCTTAAGTAACTAACCTGTAATAGTTGGCAGATATCACCCCCACCCTTTTTTTTAAGTAGGCTCCATGCCCAACGTGGGGCTTGAACTCACAACCCTGAGATCAAGAGTCACATGCTCTACCAATTGAACTAGCCAGGTACTACCCCTCTCCCGTTTTCATTTCCCATCTTCTTTAAACTTTAAGTGTTTGTTTTTGAGAGAGAGACAGAGACAGAGATAGAGCGCAACCAGGGGAGGGGCAGAAAGAGAGGGAGACACAGAATCCCAATGAAGCAGGCTCCAGGCTCTGAACTGTCAGCCCAGCGCCTGACGCAGGACTCAAACTCATGAACTGTGAGATCATGACCTGAGCAGACACTTAACCCACTGAGTCACCCAGGTGTTCCTAATTTCCCTTCTGCAAAGAGTATTTTATATGTAGGTTGTACTTCATGGTTGATTTTCCTGAAGGTTAGTCTGTTTCAGTTAAATATCTGCCTAGTACAATCTAAGAAGTATTTTTGTTGTTGTTTGTTTTTAAGCAATCTCTACATCCAATGTGGGGCTTAAGCTCACAACCCTGAGATCAAATCACATGCTCTTCTGACTGAGCCAGCCAGATGTCCCTAAAAACTGTTATTTTGACTAG